TCTGCTCTTGTTTTTGATACTGGACCATGGAGTTGGCTCAGTGATTGTATACCACCCTCCTCAAACTTCCAAGGGTTTTGAGAATTGTTTCTTTTCTTAAGGACCCATGACTTGGAAGTAGGCCCAAAATGTTTTACGGGCTAAAAGTCCCATCCGGCAAAACTGAACCAAAACAATGGGAGAACTGATACCATAGACAGATTGAGGAGTGGGTTCTTTGTGTCACTGCCTTTATCCCTGCTAGGTAGTAGCTGTCTTGAAGATAGAATGCAATGGGTTTGTAGAGTGCAACAATTCCAGGGAATTACTTGGGAAGAAATCATGGGGAATTATCTATAAAATGAATGCAATAGAGGGCTCAAGAAGCACATGGTATCATTTACAATGAATTCATGCAGCTTAGCTGGGATGACATCTCGACTCTAGTTTAAAATAAACATCCTGTCTTTCAAGGGCCATCAGACCTCTTAGCTGCACAGTGCTTCCAAAACTACCTTAGCATTAATTTGGGGTCAGGCTTAACTTGGAGAAAAGACTGATCATGGAGTTACTGAGGCCACATCTGTAAAGTCAACTTCTCCCTCCACGTCTGTTGGTGTAGCATCTAAAAGCTAGGAAATTAGAAGGCCCTGCTAGGAGCACGCAATCATATCTGGACATCTCTACAACTTAGATGCCACTGAGACAGAATCACCACTTCCCATTGGGTGGCATATCTTACGATGCATGGGAGATTTTAATAAGCTTTTCTGTGAGTAATATAATCTCCTGGGACTGTGGATACAGGCTTTAGCCATGGAATAAATGTGGCTTTTTGGGCTTACAGTTGTCCTGAGCAACATCCTCCACTCAAAACCCCACCCTGTGCTTCCTGGCTAGATCATATAAACAGTCAGTTGGAAACTTCCTCTGGTTTCTTCCCATCCAGTTCAGAAATTCCCAGTATGGATGTACTCAACATCACCTCCGATTGTTACCGCCCCACAGACCACTGAGACTCCCACCAGGGAGTCTGGGCAAACTGCAGAAAGATGCAGATTATACATGCTGAGATGGGGCTCTACCTGCTGAATGGTCAATGGGCTGATGATGCCTACGCAGACCCCTATTCACATCTTGTTCCCTTCACATGGCTGTGCCATTTTATTCACCACCAACTTTCAGAGATGCACTTACTAATGTTGTATATATGCATCACCTGGTGTTCCTTCACTACTCCTCTGCACACAACCTCTGTCAATTTATCTTCACCTGCTGATTGTCAGAACATTAATTCTCCAGAATTTGTATGCTCTAGTGTTTATCCCCCTTTGGTGTCCAGAGGAAAAAAAAAAAAAAAAAGCTAACCTTCTCTAGGGAAGAAAAAAAAAAAGATTTGTTTAAAGGGAAAGAAAGAGAAGAGGAGGGGGAAAGAGGGAAGATTAAAGAAACCTTGTAATTGCACTTGAAAGCTTTTCCTTTAAAACGTCTTATTAATTTGCTGACAATGTTCATTTACCAGCATCTCCATCAACACCCCACTCGCTCCATAGATTCTTTGGCCGACTTTTAAAACCAAAACTGAATTTTAAGGAAAACTCTCAAGATGTACAGGGAAGTAAACATCAGCTTGTCAAATTTTATACTCAGTGACAGCATAAAACAAGATGTCAAAAAACAATCTTCCTTCTCACTCTTGTTGAAAAACACACCTCCCTGTCCTGCTCCCCCACCACCTTTCTCACCTTAAAAATAAATGCAATAAAAAGGAAAAGAAAATAAACCCCTTTCTGACCACTTTGAAGAATGAAAGCTTTGAAAGCAAAACAATTCCATAAAATGATCCAACTGCAATTCAAGCTGATCACACAGAATAAATTGGGTTACAGTATTTGGAAAAAACCACTGCATACATTCCTACCCGAGGTCTGGTAAAGGGCAGCCGCAAATTGTCTGATCACAAAGAAGGAATTTCACCCTCATTGGTTTGTGGCAAGTGTACGTGAGGCTAAGAGTGATGTTCAAATGAGACAAGCTGAGCACAAGCTCAAATACATTATTCTACTGCAGTCTCCAGATTCACTGACAGTAAAAAGTGGAGTATGGAGAGAGAAGGAGACAGCACCATATCTCAACTGAGACAGAAGCCAGCATAGCCAGAGATGATCAGGGACAGCACTTACTAGAGGGAAAGCATATTATGCTTTCAAGATTTGAGTAAAATCAGATAAGAACTGGATACTAAGAGGTTGATATGAAGAGGTTTCCCATCCCCTACAGCTCTGATGAACCAAGTCAAAGAAGAATTCACAGAGTGAGATCCCCTTTGTATAGTCATTTGGGCTCAATTATAGAAGGCACTGAGTTTCTTCAATCCCTACTAACAATGCATCATGTCAAGGGTTGCTCAGCAGCAAATAGGAGACTCGTGTTCTTGCTGAACTCACAGCAACATTCATTATCTTTCAGGTTCATTCACCAAATGGAAAACAATAGCTATCTTTCCATGCTATCTGATACCTGTGCTATCAACCCCTAAAGCCTTCTTCAGCTTGTGCAAGATCAACCTATGTAGCAGAAATGGAATCAAGCGAAGCAAAAACAGCACTGCATGCATCCCATCCGGAATCCTCCACTGTTTTGATGGCTAAATGGGAGGTGCTGTGATTAATCTGTGATTATGTGACTCACCATAATTATGTCTTGTTGAAATTGAATTTATTGAAGCATGAATCATTCTACCCAAAGTAGAACCTAATTGCTCTGGTGCTGTGGCAGCCATTTAAAGTTTAGAGGAGAGGTTGTTGTGCTGGGTAAAAATTTCACTTGCATTCAAGCAACGATAAATTCTGTCTTGTGACTTACAAGAAGGTGAAGTTTGCCTCTGAAATGAGAATAACTCACGCCTGGAAGTTCTGTTTGAATTGCTGAGAAACATTCGGCCAACCCAAAGGCAAAGATCTGCATTAGCCTGAGGAGGTACGCAAATACTGATTTGAGTCTGTGAGGCTGCTGTCACTATTTGAATGCTGTATCATTCCCCTCAGCCACAGACCTCCCACTGCTTTGCTGTTATTTCTGGGCACATGCTCACCAAGGCTGGTATATGCACACAATAAACCTGTAATTTCATCAGCAAGGGTAGACTAGAGATGAGCCTGGTGTTCCTGCTTTGGATGACACATGCAGGAAGTTGCAGTACGCGGTATGTCTGTGGGGTGTCTCTCAACCAACAGCCCTCAATAATAATAGAGAGAAATTTAAGGTCATCTCGGACTTTTTCCCCCCCTTTCTAAGGAAGACATCCGTTGTTTGTATTCAGCTGCTTGAATTTCTGGATGGAAAAGAATTTTTTTCAAATAGGAATTTTGATGGGTAAGCTTTTTGTTTTGTTTTTTTTTTAAAAACCAGAAAGCCACCTTTAATGAAAAAGTCTTCGTATTCAGTTTAGGAGGGAAAAAAAAAAAAAAAATTACATTTTCTTTGCTAATGTAGAACGGACCTCTTCTCCTAACCAGATTTTAGTATAATTATTGCTAGCATACATGAAGAAGGGTAAACAATGGCTCTCTAGGGTAAGGATTTTTTCGCAGTTGTTAAGTTTCCTCCTCTATTTTTAAAATTCCTGTTTCTACCATTGTCTATAGCACAACAGTAGCAATGACTGACAATAGCAGTTAACACTGAAACAGGGATGAAAATTACTATTTAAAAAAAAAAAAAACAAAAAAAAAACAAACCTAAACCAAAGCTAGGAAATACTTTGCATAATATAATTGCCAACCAGGGGGAAGAATTACATAGGGCAAAAAAGAGGAAGTACATTCTTAGTTTTCCTACTTCCTGCCAATGTGGAGATCTGTTACTAGCTTCTGGAATGAAGGAAAGAATCCTTCCTCATATCACTCAATGTCAGTGCTCTGTGTTGGCACTATTGTTTCCCTCCAACTATATTTAGTCAATAGGAAAGTGATGAAGGAGTCCCATCTGGTACATCAGAGGATGCCTCTTTGTTGGAATCACATCTGGTTTACGTTCACACTGAATCTTGGAAGGGAGATGTGGAGCCAGGGTATTTGCTTGGTTATTACAAAATTGTTACTTATTTCTAGCAAAGCACCCTTGAAAGCAAATATTCAGTGCAAAAAGATTTAGACTTCATAGACACCTAAAGACAAAGAAATTTGTCCTTTTTGTGAGGAAGAGACTATGATTGTATCTGCCATACGTGATGAATTAGTTAGCAAAAAGGTTTCTCCTTTAAGAGGAGAGGCTGTGCAAGGTATTAGTGTCACTCATCCTCTTCAAGTACAGAGACAGTTTTCATTGACTCTGTCAGAGTCAGAGAACCTTCCAGGTTTCAGTTTGTTACTGGAAACACTGCTTCTTGTGTTGGTCATACATGATCCTTTCATTTTTATTTTTAAATGGTCGACCTGTTGATATCTACGGCAATTGTTTTATCCCCCAGTTTTCAGCAATCTGGTATAAGATTGACTCTTCCCCCCCCCCATCAGTTTCTTGAAGAAACCTTGCTTTAGTCTACTCTTGCTTTCTGGAGGAAAAGAGTCACTTCAGATGTCTTCATTGCCAAAACTGTTCTTCAGAATAAAACATATGGCACTAGTTGCTCTTTATGCATGCAAGGATGACAACAGAAAACTTTTTGTCTAGAACTTCAACTGTTTTCAAACCACTGTCAACCACTATCTGTGTTTTATGAATTCCATCCGTTCAGAGCTAGAATGGTACAAAACACTCCTAAAACAAATATCCAGCATAATGCTAGACCAGTCCTGTTTCCACTCATGTGTGTTCATTTCCAACTTGATCTTGCTGCACATTTTATGTTTCAATAAAGATGTCCAAAAAACCATGATCCACAACAACGCATGTCCTATTCTGAGGCTTATAAACTAGCTCCTATCTAGCAGGGTAGCAAAGTCCTAGGCTGCAGCAAGTGAGAATGTGTTCAAATGCAGCAGCTATAGACACAGAAACAAAGGAAATAAACTGCTTACCTTCAGAAGGCCTCAAACATCCAGAGATCTCCAGTGAGATCCCTTCATCTCCACTGCCAACCCTTAAATGAGGTCTGGGAAGGGATGGATCCTGGATCAACCCCTTCTGGTCACTCAATGCACTTCATGCACCTGAGCTCCCCTGGGTTGGCCCTGCCTTCCCACCAGGTGCTCAATCACTGCTTCAAGCCATGACTCAGCATTTCCACTACACTGAATATATGGTCTTCCAGAAAGCATCTAATCACAGAAAAGGTAACACCATTTTGTCTTTGATTCCTTACTATGTGCAAGTTGCTACTCTCCTCCCTACCACTCCTGCAGATGCCTCCGCCAAAGCAAAACATTAGAGTGGTTTCCCCAGGAAACTGAGTTTAATGTGATCATGTTGTTTATGTGTCAGCCCATACAATCTCCAGCTAACAGCTCTGTAACCTATCATGGAGGGGGGGAATGCATAAAATATTGTGCCTATCATATTTCATCAAAATAAGCAAGTGGAGAAAGGAGAGAGACTCTCTTGCTTGGGGATCACACCTTTTATTGAGCACTGGAGAATCCATGCAAGTGAGAGCCCTTGGAAATGAACTTTCATTTCTTCCACTGCTTATGGAACCACTTTGTTTGTGGGCTGCCACTGCTCTCCTTAATTACAGTCCCCTCCCATGGGCTGTATCACTTTTTCAGCAAGTGTGAAATATTGCCTTGGAATCCATCGTCTCACGATTCACCTTGGGTCTGGTCTGGAGGATTGTGCAATTTCTGTGGTCTGCTCCAGTGCAAACAGGAAAAAGAATCTGAGCCTCCGTTTTTACAATGTGCAGCTTGCGTGCAGGAAACGGAGCGACTCAGCAGCATCTTTGGGACATTTACTACTCTCTGCTCTCTCGCCAGCAAGGCCTGGGCCATTAGTTCTGCTGGCAGACAGCTCAGAGCCATTGGTGTTTGAGGCCTCTGGTGGCCTGTCATCCTGCTGCAGGTCAGCCTGGAGAAGTCTGCAGGCACTGCTTGGGGAAGAGGGGAAGCCTTCTTCCTCTTCCAGAGAGACAATGTGAACAAGTGTGATGCTCCCGCTTCCCATTTGCACTGTCCTGACTAAGAAAAGGGCCGGCTCCAAGTTACAAGTTCAATTCATTCCTTTTTAATGGCTGCCTGAAGTCATTTGCTAGTGACACAACTGATGGAGTGCGCAAATGAATCTATCCCTGCTCAAGGGATCTGCTTCCCTCACCAACCTACTACATTTTGTGCTCAGCTACTTTGATGTTGGCACATTTTGAGGATGAAGTTTCTGTCTGTGGGTAGAGATGGAACCTTGGATAAGTCACTCAGACCTTGGTTTCTCTGCCTTTTATAAACTGCATTGAGGTTCCTGGGTGAGAATGAAGACCCAGAAGAGATAGTAGTATCAATACGACAAAAGCTACAATCAGATAGATATGCATGTAACTTCAAGAGATTCTGATTTATGGAAAGAAATTTCATGGAATCACAGAGTCATTAAGGTAGGAAAAGAACTCCAAGATCATGAAGCCCAACCTTCAATCCATCATCACCATACCCACTCACAGACTCACAGAATCATCAAGGCTTGAAAAGACCTCCAAATTCACTAAGTTCATCCATCAATGCATCCCCACCAAACTGTGTCCCCAGGGACACATCTACATTTTCTTTTTGTGGAGTGTTTCAAGTCACTGAGTAAATGTATTATCTAAATCACAGTGTTTAAGTGTTTACTCAAGGAATGAACTCAACAAATCTTTTCTGCTTCATTTTTTTCCTTCCTTGTCTTTTCTTTTTTTTTTTCCCCCCCAACTTAGGCTGTGAATGACCAGAAGCAGCTAAACAGTAGCCTTGTATTTACTATCATGATCTCTGAAATGAGACAGTGAAAGCTTATCTAGGGTTTTCCACTTGGACACAAGCATGAAAAATTCCTGCGGAAAAAGGCCATTTGAAAGGTAGGGGGGAAATCACACTGAAATGGATTTGAGTTTATTCAGCTCCAGTACAAATGCATGATCCTTTGCTTGACCAAGTAGATGTTCTTCCTTTGCATAATATCATTGTGATTTTTCCCTAAATCTGTGCAACAACACAGAAATCCACATTTCTTTACCATATATTTCTTTACGGTACAATGCAGAGGATCAGGTGCCCATGCTCTCTCTTAAGGGGTGCAGATTTCCTAGAAAACTACATATTCCACAAGGCAAGCAAATACTATTTTTTTTCTTTTGTTTCAGAGCATGATGCAACTCTGGTTTGGGTAGCTTAATGGGAGGTGTAGTCAGTCTGGTTACTGGCCCAAGAAAGAAAGCAAAGGCTTGGACCACAACTCCCAGAAGGCAATGAAAGCATTGTTGAAGAGTGAATTTGAGTCTTGTGATTACCTCAGAGGAAGAGATCATCAGGGGGCTGTCTCAGGGATTAATCGCTTTCACTGTTTACATTTTGAATGTCAAAACAAGGTGTTTTGACATTTACAAATAATAATAAGAAGAAAGCTTTTGCCATTTTATGCAGAAAAGGAATTAAGCATTTTTTTTTCCTTTTTCTTTAACCACTTGTTTTGGAACTTAAAGCAAATATTAAAATGTCAGAATTTCCCAAAGGATGGAGATTTGGAATTTTTTCTCAGCTGTGGTTGTGATGCCTGGAATTAACTCTGATAGCCAAGGGATCAACAGTCTAAACAGTGCAACACTCTGCAGGCTCAGGCAGAGAAGGAGAATTTCTTCTCTTTGTTCTGTATTTTGAAACAGAACTCTTTTTTAATTCCATTCCTCCATTATCTGATACAGTTTTGCAAGCTAGGAAATTCCATCTAAGAGCTTTCTTCTTTACTACAGAGCAATCTCCTTGTTGTTTAATCCTGCCTAAATCATGAGTGTAAAATTCTTAAGGAAGAAAAAAGCACTTAGTGCTCCAACTGGGATCAGCTGATGTGATATTTCTCCTTCTACAGCTGAAGGTGAGGTTGTGTGTCCATTCTGTGACCACCGTCTGGTTAGGACACAAAGGTCTGAATTCTGAAAGATATCAGCATTTTTCCTGGATATTTCATATACCATCCCACTAACAGACCAATTTTTTGACCCTGAATTCTACCCTGTCATCAATAAGTTCACTGTACCCAGGAAAAAACTGAAATGTGATGAGAATTGGAAGACTATTAGAAACCAAGACATGGAAGACATGTATTTATCCAGAGCCTGCTAATACAGACAGGTACCAAATTTCTGTTAAACATGACTTCGATTTGATACTGTGGGTTCAGAAGAGCTACTATCTGACAAAGCCATCTGCTTTTCAAGAAGGGGAGAGGAGTTGTGGGGAGCAGAAATGTTGCTGGAACAACTTAAAGAAGAAGCTGTGAGAACAAATGTGATGTACATTCTTCTATGCTAGCAAGCCAGAGCACTAAGCTGATTGCCTTTGGACTTGATAGTGGGAGGAAGCTACATCTAAGATTTGTGATACAGACCTGTAGGGAACCATTTAAGTTCAACTGTGCTTTTGCCAATGGACTGTACCTCCAAGATGTGACACATTGAATGTTAATGCACTTGATTATGCTGCTTGCACTGAAAGGAAACTCACACCCACACCAAAAAGCTCTTGATCCTAAGGCCTAGTCTGTCTGACCATGCTGACCAGTGGCAGATGCTCTGAGATAATTGCAAGAAGCCTCAAATGCAAAAGCCATAGTTTATGGAGACTTTTACTAGTGAGAATGGTTTGTATCCCACAGCTGTAGGATGTATTTCATTTTCAAAATTTCCTTTCCCAATCCCAGATGCTCAAGTTCTTTCTGAACACAATACTTTGGTTGACGACCATGGCTCCGTGCTATTGAGCTATAAGGACTCATGTTCTGCAGATAGTCTAAATAAAGCCAGCACTATCTATCTATTTATATCCCTAAGAAAATGTGAATAAAGGTAATGCAGTCTGACATCAAATTGTATAGCATGCCAGAAAGCCAGCAAGAAATCATCAGAAAAAGGAAATAAATACAAAAAGGGTTGCCACCATCTACCCTCAAAGAAGAACAATGGCTGCAAACAAGAATCTGACATGATCTTGCCAACTACTTGATAATTTACTAGTGCTGGCTTTAAACTACATTCCTTGCAGGGTGTAAGCAAGCAGGAAATGATATTGCATGTGGATGAACTTTAGTAGACTGTCAAAAGCTCCTGGAACAGTTTTGCCTACACAGGAACATGCAGCTTGGTTCATCTTAATTTACCAGGGCAGTGAATTTAAAGCTCATTGTTAAACTACACTGAACCATCAGACAGCCTATCTCATTTGGAACAAATATGACTTCCATCTGATTTACCTTAATTCACTTTGGAACTGAACTTGATGACTTAAATGTTACAAAAACTGCCTGTAAGACGGTATTTTAATAACCATGGGAACAAATGGACTCGTCAAAGTTATTTTGAGTTAAGTAATCTGTTCAAAAAAATCTAGTTCAGATTCTTCTTGAACATCTCTTTGCAAATAAACCTCTGCAGATAATGGTTTTCTCATCCTGTGAATTTTTCTGAGACTTCAGAAATTTTGCATGTCCCACCACAGGATAAACTAAGCCTTTTGTAGTGGTTTTGGTTCATTTAGTTGGGATTTTTGTGTTTTTTTGCTCTCTCTTCCCTCCCTCCCCTGAACAAACAAACAAAAACAATCTCTCCTCCTTGGAAAAGAGTCAGCTGACTAAAATAGCAAAGAGATCAGCTTGGGAGGGAGCCATTACCCCTGTGAAGATTCAACTATTGATAACTATAAATGAAGTGTAAGACCCGAAAACTTCATTTTCTTAATCTGAGACCTGGTCACATTCATTTACAGACACATATTCTCTTTACTAGTAGCTTCTCTGAACTGAAAACATCTAGATTTGATCAGAGATTCCATTATCAACATGAGAAATCTGCTGTCATTGAATGGCTGGATTTGTTGTATTTTACAGTGATGTTTTCTTTCAAAGAAATGTAGAGGAAAAAGGTTGGAAGAGCAATGGTTTCTTATGACAAGGTATTTAGTCAACAGTTTCCTGCT